CCCCCAACCCCCGAAAAGCTCTGAGACAATGCTGACAAGCGGTGGGGGGTGAGAAGAGAAGGGACAGGGGGGAGGTCGGGAAACACAGGGAAAGTGAGGAAAAGGGGGGGGGGGGGGGGGGGGGGGGGGGTAGAGAAATTAAAAGATGAGATGATGAATGAAGAAGATTAGGGTGCAGCAGGGAAATAGAGGAGGTGTGCAGCCATTTAAAAGAAATGGAACCTTCCTTTAGCCACACGGAGGAAGCAGGACAGAGAAGCTGCCCAGAGCTCATCCCCACCTTTTTGTTGCTCTCACATTTTTGTCACTATCGCAGGTGCTACGGAGGATTTGGTCCTTGTGGGGAAATGTGGAAAGAAATGCTATGCGTGTGTGTGTGTCTATGTGCGTGTGTGTGTGTGTGAGTATAATGATGTGTCTAAAAAGCCACGCTGGCTGCAGCTAGACAGCTCATTACGAGCCCAAACACAGAGGCAGGTGTTTCAAGGATAACAGGGTGTGATTTTCACCGGCCCATTTCACACGGAAAACACACGCACGCACACACGCGCGCGTGCGCGAGGCGGCGGCGGTGGCTGGGAGATGTCAGCAGGGGTGGGGCTCTGCCTCCAGAGGCCCGACTGAGTGACATCATCCGGGACGCTTCGCCATGGCAACGGAACCTCGGAGCGTGCTTTGGCAGCCTCCAAAATTCTGACGGTGCACTTAGCGGAATCTGCACCACTGCAGAGAGGCAGAACATCAGAGGGGGATGGATGGATGGGGTGTGTGTGTGTGTGTAGGAGTCGGGGGTGGGGGGTATGGATGGGTGGTGGGGGGGGGGGGACAGGGGTGCCGTGCACTCAGTGGCATAAAAGACAGACCGGCCTGCCTCTGCTCTCTGCCATGTCAGAGTTCATCTACGAGCTCCATAAACAACAAACGCACACAGACAGACACACACACACACACACAGCGTCCGTCCAGAGGGCGTCAGAAAAGGGGTCTACGAAACAGTTTCATTATGACCACGGCCTCGCCTTTGGAGTAATCCCAAACCATCCAGCGCTGGATTAGAAAGATTACGCAGTGGGGTCACAAATAATCTCTTGGGGCTCTGTACTCTCCTTCCTCCAATCCCTCATAATACCGTGATAGAACAATCAAAACATGGCCTACAGTATGCTACATGTGGCAGCCGCTCCACGCACACACACACACAAACATGGACACACACATGAACACACACAGCCCATATTCCCTGTACTAATCTTTTGAGAAAAGCAATAAAACAGTGTGATGTTAAAGCGGGTTTAAACTTTTGATCAGCATTGTAACTTGTAGATAAATTGGTCAGCAGCTATTCTGTTTCCACAAACACTGACATGCATGACCTTGTTTTGGCAGGCAATAGGCTATTCTATCATTTAGGTAGAAATAACAAATAAAAAAAAAAACCTTGCTAGGTTCAATGGAGCTTTAATGAATGGATGGAATTGAATGAATTCAGAAGTTGTTCGTTCTTTTACAGTTTTCGTGGAGGAGAGGGCAGTCTAAGGACTCCCCCGATTGGGTGTTTGGGATCTGTGCATTATTCCCGTCATTGTGATACTCGTCAGACCGGTCAGTGAGCCTTTGTGGATGGGACACTTGAGGGTAGAACTGCTTGGTCACAGGGTAATGATAATCACTTTGACCTTTGCTGCTGAGAGGGCTGCCAGCCCCAAACCATGCCAGCGACATCAGGTCGCGTACCTCATCTCATTCACTCGCCCCCCCTCCTGATCTCATTGTTTTTGTTCATGGCTTTTTTTTCCATGGCATTAACCGATGCCACTCTTGAATCTCATTTAACTTTTGCTTCTTTTTTCTATATCATGTATTCAAGCTGTCCTTCCTGTTTTCACCACTTCTGTATTTTCTTCTCTCTCTCTCTCTCTCTCTCTCTCTGTTCAGATCAGCCTTTCTCCAGCCATTCTTATCACCGCTCTCCTCCTCTCATCTCTTGCCTTCTTATCCCCCTGATCAATAGCCTAACCTCCTTCCTCCAACCTCATCTTCTCTCTGATCCCTTTTTCTCAGCTCTCTCCACTGCCCTTCCCATCTCTTCCATAGCCATCACTCCACCTTCCCCTCCCTCTAGTCCTCTTATCTCTACATCTCCTCCCCTGCTTGGAGGCAGTCTTCAGTTAAATATTAATTAGCGAGCCTCATCCCGCCGGCTGATAGTAGGACAATGGAGAATCCCTGCGTGTGCCTGTAAGCATCCCACTAATGAAAGTGTGCCTGTGTCTGGAGATGAAGACACACATGGAGCAGATAGAGTGTGAGTATGAGGGAACAAAACGTGTGGACGTGTGTGTGAGATGAAACGGATACACTGAGGGTAGATCAAGATTATGTGTGCAAACACATCTGCAACCGTGTCAATGTGTGCACACTTGTGCACGTGTCAAAAAAACAAAGAGCAGGCTCCGCTGGGGCTTTGAAGGCTGGAGTTAATGATTCATGTGTGTGCGAGCGCGCGTCTGATTACCGGCAGTGTGCTTTCACATGCATACTGTTTAACCAGTGGGTGAATCAGGGTGGACCTGATTCACCCACTGGTTAATCCGCATTGAACTGCAGATCCGTGTGTCAAAACCCTGTTTGAAACACCAGCCTACAGAAATGATGAAGAGAAAAAAGGGAGGCCTTTGAGAACGCTGAGCCTCCGCTGGCTCTGAAGTGTTGATAAATTCTGATTTTAGGTGTGAAATAGTGCAATTTAAAATCAGCTGTCTGGCTTTTAATCACACTGAAACGACTAAACCGCTCACAAATGTGTTGCTGTGACAACAGGACACGTTATTGGCATGAATGAAGCAGTGTGTAAGAGAGATGAATGTGCCGTGATTCTTTGCTTTAAATGCTGCTTAGTGGCAGTGACCTTGAAGAAAGACTCAATAATAGATTCATTTTAAAACACTAAAAGCTCACAGAAAATATCTAAGAGTAGGGCTGAGACACTCAGAGTTGTTGATTTCTCTCAGGGAGGATTTTTTGTGCCAGAGTTTGATGAACGTAGCCTTATCGTCGTCATTAAGATAAAAAGCTGATAGCTTTGTGAAGTAAGCTCTCGAGTTAACATCTGCCTGTCTGTTTATTCCTGGCATAAACATCTGTCTTTTGTGATGATGAGAGGACACACAATACAACAATGTTCTGTTACCATTGTAAACAGTGGCAGAGGGAACATTTTAATTGATGTCTTTTTGTTATATTTGAATCGTCGCAAAAAATAACAGAGTTTCTCCAAAAAAGAGATTTAAAAAGTAAGTAAACATTTGTCGTTCTCAGGGAAGCCCACTGAATCTTTTAACAGATGTCACTTAACAACGTTGACCCGGGGGTGGTGGCTCTGGATCGTCTTACAAGCAAATGGTGTGCAACTATTCAACGCCCATAAGTTCTTTAAAAAAATCGAAACGATGCTCAGAAAACTCAGCAATTGTAGCAGGCAACCTAATATATACAGCAGCATTCACGTAGTGCCTTCATCTGCATCAGTGGTCCATCGGGCAGAGCCCTGCCTGCGGTCAGCCACCTGCAGCCATTAGAATCCCTTTAGTTTGCTCAAATGGCTTGCGCAGTTGTTGGAGCAGAAATAAAGCCCTTTAAAGTTGGCCATTATGTAGCCTTTTAGGTTTGCCGCGGCTCATGAATCTTAGCTGCAGCTGAGACATGCTGATGCACACCGGCAAAGTAGAAAATGAGCTCCAACCATTGAACAGGCACATAGAGGTGTATCTTCATCCCAAAAGGCTTTGTGTCATTCTTCTTTTCTATTCGCCGACAGAAGCGTTAACTCTAATGGAACAACGTGAACAGCATTTGCTTTTGTAGACAGTGTTTCTTCAGTCCATTTGCCAGGAGAAGGATCAGTAAGTAGGACTTTTTAGAGCTATGTTGCTCTCCGTCTTAAACCCACAACCCGGCTCCTCTTTAGAGGAGCAACATTAATTCAGTTTCCAGTTGTAGACACACACACACACGTGCCCGCATGCCTCCACAGGGCACTGCTTTAATCTAATCGAACACCATACGGACGCATGGAGGTTTTGGGAAAATGTAAACCACCGGCATAATCAAACCTGGAGTAATGCACTGATACGCAGCTGAGCCCGCTTACTCGCGCACAAGAGCAGCATTGTGAGGCCCAGACATATGTTAATAAAGCTTGTATGAACCCAGCCTTTCTTTCACATCCCCCCTCCTGCCCCTCCCGCCAAAGTGCAACCAAACCACTAAACGGGGCAGGAGACAAAGCAAGGCAGGGCTGCAGACGAAAATAGATGCGCGCCGCCATAAAACAAGTAACCAGGCACATGAACGTCGCACACTTTACAAAAACACTGAGACCGAGACTGATGATTTAACCAAGAACAAAGAAAAAAACGGCGCCGTCTGACTCTTTTCTGACTTTTCTCATTTAGGTGATAAAAATAGGATTCTGCTTTACCCACAGCTTGGTTCCATGAACACGGAGGGATGGGTTTTGTAAGTAAAGCTGTTGAG